AAGAGTGAAAGAGCAAGTGAGAGAGTGTGTTACCTCCAGCGTATGAGTGTGTATGAGCTGTGTGTGTGAGAGTGTGTGAGTGAGTGAGTGAGTGAATGAGTGAGTGAGTGTGAGTGCGTGCGTGCGTGTGTGCGTGTGAGTGTGTGAGTGTGTGTGTGTGAGAGTGTGTGTGAGAGTGTGAGAGTGTGAGAGTGTGAGAGTGTGAGAGTGTGTCAGTGTCAGCGTGAGTGTGAGTGCGTGAGTGCGTGTGTGCGAGTGAGTGAGTGAGTGAGTGAGTGAGGGAGTGAGTGAGGGAGTGAGTGAGGGAGTGAGTGTGCGAGTGAGTGTGCGAGTGAGTGAGTGAGTGTGTGTGTGCGTGTGTGTGTGAGCGAGTGTGCGAGTGTGTGTGTGTGAGAGTGTGAGCGTGTGCGGTGCACGTGTGCGTTTGTGTGTGAGCGAGTGTGCGAGTGTGTGTGTGTGTGTATGCGTGCGTGCGTGCGTGTGTGTGAATACTGCTCATTGATGAATCTGTGGGTCGGGTCATTAATCTACAGCAGTGTCTGCAGGACGAGGATGAAGGTGGTTAGTGGTTCCTGATGCCCGCGGCGCTGCTCCGCTCAGGCTGGCATCTTTATTTTACGCTTCTTTGGCTTGATTGGGACACTGCGTTCCAGCTGTGGCCGTTTCTCTGTGCTGTCGGCTGAGGATTGAAGATGTGCGACTTTGTTCCAACATCAATGTCGTACCTCGACCAGACTGAAGCACAGCAGTGTTAAACTCCAACCCTGAGCTCAGACGCTGGCTTTACTGTTCTAATCATCTTTCTCTGACTGATTAATATATACAGTATATAATGTAGTGTAAGTTTATTGCATTAATTTAGCATGAATATACAGTGGTGGCCAAAATGATTAGAACACAATGAATGCATTAGAACAAAATGAGTGTTTGGAAATGTAAACTGATATTTCCTACTGACACACTACAGCAAAATATAGAAATAACTGACTTAAACCATTTTTTAGCTGCTGAGAATACTAGTGTTCTAATCATTTTGGCCACCGCTGTATGTACTGAAATAATGACATTATTTTCATGATAATGTAATAGCCTTAAATTCATTCAAGTAGTACTGTAAAGAAATGCTACCTTTGAGTGAAATTAGAGATTCACTTTGTAAATAAATAAACAAATAATAAAATCATTAATAAAACAAATATAATATAAAAACCCTTAGAAAATTGTAATTTATATAATAATTGATATTCTAGTGTTTGTGTGTTTGATCTCCATCACAAAGGCATTATTCAGCTGTTCTTCTCATGTGTGCTGTCTCTGTGATTAGCCTCTAAAAACCCATCGCAGTGAATCTTCAAAAAAACAGCCAATCAATCTTCACAGTGTGATTTTTGTGGCTCAACATAAGGCTTCATGATTAATCGAAATAATACTTTAATCATTGTATAGTTTTCAGTGGACTTATCAAAGTGCAATAGCTACAAATGAATGAAATATAAATCGGTTTCAGAGTGAAGTGCGGCACTGTGTTCATTTACACGCGAGCAGCTCATGATCCGGTGTTTTCTGCGGCTCGGTTCTCTCTGCATCTGCTCTGAGCTTGACTCGCTTTCATGTGCATTTGACAAAGCATGCACCAGACCATCTTTACACAATTTGTAAACTGGCTGTTGGCAGCAAAAGAGAAGCTTAAAAGAATCCCTGCAGTTTTCCATCAAAATATTATCATATTAGTTCATATTGTCATATATTTAGTTCAAATTGTAAAGCCCCACAAATAAGTAAAGCAAACTTATATTAACTGTGCAGCCCATGTTTTAACATCAGGAAAGACTGCGAATTCTGACAATAACAGGAATCCGTTTTGTTCAGCTCACTGCTTGTTTTCTGTGTGTGTGTGTGTGTGTGTGTGTGTGTGTGTGTGTGTGTGTGTGACTATAGCGTGTGCTGCTTATAGAATAACTCAAACTAAAGTCAGGAGAGGTGAACGACACATGAGTGCTGGAATTGATGAAGGAGGTTTATTATGGAAATCAGCACTTGTTGATGTGACTGTTTGTTCGTTCTCTGCAGAACTTGCTGGTGAACCACGGATGAAGATGATGATGATGATGGTTGGTGCTGAAGAAGAGGAGCAGCGTTAGAGGACGATTGTGTGTGTGGTATCAGGATTGTGTTGGTTTGTTGAGCTGATCTTCATTTACTGTGAGCAAATAAAGTCTCTTCAGCGTCTGTTTCTCTCTTCAGTCTCTCATTACTCTGTCAGCTTTCCAAACAGTGACTGTGAAGAGTTCTTCATCAGTCTGAAACTCTGCTTTCTGAACATCCGCTCAGATGAATATGATTAAACTCAACCATTATGGAGATAAAAAGCATCTTTGTCCACTGCTGTGTGCTCTGAGAAAATGTATTTTCACTGAACATATAAATCACTATTTCACTATAGTTGATGCATTTTGGAACATATAAATCAGTAATATTTTAGTGTAGTTTATGCATTTTTAAATCTAATATTTCAGTGTAGTTTATGCATTTTTAACATAAATTTCTAATATTTCAGTGTAGTTGATGCATTTTGGAACATATAAATCAGTAATATTTTAGTGTAGTTTATGCATTTTTAAATCTAATATTTCAGTGTAGTTTATGCATTTTTAACATAAATTTCTAATATTTCAGTGTAGTTGATGCATTTTGGAACATATAAATCAGTAATATTTTAGTGTAGTTTATGCATTTTTAAATCACTAATATTTCAGTGTAGTTTATGCATTTTTAACATATAAATTTCTAATATTTCAGTGTATTTTATGCATTTTGGAACATAAATTAATAATATTTCAGTGTAGTTTATGCATTTTGGAACATAAATCATTTTAGTGTAGTTTATGCATTTTTAAATCAGTAATATTTCAGTGTAGCTTATGCATTTTGGAATATAAATCAGTCATATTTTAGTGTAATTTATGCATTTTGGAATATAAATCAGTAATATTTCAGTGTAGTTTATGCATTTTGGAACATATAAATCAGTAATATTTTAGTGTAATTTATGCATTTTTAAATCAGTAATATTTCAGTGTAGCTTATGCATTTTGGAATATAAATCAGTAATATTTCAGTGTAGTTTATGCATTTTGGAACATATAAATCAGTAATATTTTAGTGTAATTTATGCATTTTTAAATCAGTAATATTTCAGTGTAGCTTATGCATTTT